TTGCGGCTTTTTAACTCCACTACCATTACCTACTCTGTGCCCTTGCAAAGTTCACCCAAACCCCAATACCCACTTTACGAACTATCAACAGTACTTCGATGCCAACCGTCGGTACCCCAAACTCCCAATCCAGATGGCCCGGGAGGAACCAGTGGGCATTCCCTGATATTCCGAATGAATCCTTTTTTCCTCTGACTGATCCGGCGGCCTGGTTGGTGTAGTGCTTGCCAAACACTCGGTCTTGTTCAGTTTGCCTACGGTGTCTGGTTCCCCAGATGATAATCTTTTACATAGCGCCGTCGAAGATCTGTGTTACCTCTCTACTCGAGACTTCCCAAGCGGGCTTCCGTATCCTCTGATCCCTTGGATTTATTTGGCTGCTTCACTCGAGTTTCGTGTAACTCATACGTCACACTACGTTCTACAACCTCCTAATACAAGTTGGTAAGACCAAAGTCACAGGTGCTTACCCGATCGATATATCATACAGTTTTACTGTAACGCATTTCCACAAATTCGAATTTTGTCACCAGTGGGATTCGAACTCTTGTCCTGCTGCTTGGGGGTGCGACAACTTACCAACTACACTAAGTTGCCACACCCTTACGAAATTCAAATTTTACAGAATGTGTTACAGCAAACTGTATATAATCTGATAGATCATCAAATCTGTAGCTTTGGTCATATTAGCTTATACTAGAAGAATATGAAACTATAGTGTGATGCAAGAGTTACACAAAATCTGAGTGAAGCATTTGTGTAAATCCAAGAGCTGGTGTATACAGAATCCCGCTTAGCAAGTTCCGAGTAGAGAGGTAGCACAGATCTTCAATGACACTATATAAAGAACTATTACCAAAAATCTAAAAACTGGATGGGATCGAAGTGTTCAACAAAGCACTACACTAACCAGGCCATTGATGTATTCCAAGGAAAGGGTTTGCCCTTTTAGGCTATCTGAATTGGAAGTTTGGATTTAATGAAATGATAGACAGTCTGTAAAGTGAGTGCTGGGGTTTAGATGAACTCTACAAGAGTATAAGTAGGTAATGGTAGCAGCTTCAGCTCGCAAGTACTTGTTCTCGGACTTGGCATAAGTTATCGAAAATCTAGATTAGCCAGATTATGCATATAGAAAGCTCTAGCAACAATGTCTTAAGGATAAATTAGTCCTAAGGCTACGGTACGCATCCAGAATTCTTGACTGACAAATGTAACAGAGTGTTCTGATGACACAAGAGACAATATACATTACAGAAGGTTTAAATAGGTAATCCTCTAGTTGGATTATAGGTATAGCAGCTAGTGTAGTATCTATGGTGTATAATTATCTATATGCAGACTACTTAAATAGATGCTCAAAAGGCACATGTATGACTAGTTGTACTTTCTAATATAATTGGGGTTCCATTGTAAGCTCTTTGCCTATTATACTTGAATAAAAACCCCTATGGCAAAGAGGCTAGTTAATAAAAAAAAAAAGTTGTAAAGCTTATTAAGACATATCTTATGATGGTTAGATCATTCTATATCAACTCAGTGGATGTTGAGATATTATTAAAAAACATGTTAATAACTATATAAAATTTCTATAAAAACAATATATTGTTTCTATAGAAATTTTACATAGTCACTAATATATTTTTTAATGATATCTCAATATCCACTAAACCAATTTGAATGATCTAACTACCATTAAATGCATCTTAGTGAGCTCTACAACTTTTTCATAATACAGAAGATCGATTAGCTTAATAAAAAAAAATTTTCCTTGGGTAATCATAGCATTTGAAGTATATGTAATTTATATAATAATCTAAGTCATGTTATACTATATGTTTTGTTCTGTTGACTCATGAATCATCAATTAAAAATGAATTTGAATTAATTTGAATAAATTATATGAATTCATATAAAGTATTTTAGTAACTATAACTGGTGGTGATCATCACCGATGTATAATTAGCCAATAGATTTGCAGGATCAGGTGCAATGTGCAAATCAATTTGTATAATAACAATAAAGGATTTTTTTAAAAAAATGCCAATATCTCAAGAATTCATCTATGAAACTACCTTTAACGTTCTAACAAAAAAAATTTCTTGCTAAATTTTGCATATATTTAATACCTTGCTAAAATTTCAAGCCTTATTCTAACCTTAAAGTAAATGAAATAAAATATTTTTTTTGATTTATTGTTATTGACAAATTATACACCAGTGATGATCACTGCTGGTTAGGGTTGTTAATGGAGTGCTCCAGTTAATAATAAAACATATGACCCACTCTGAAGCACTTCAAAAACAGGTTATATGTTTTATTATAGTCTAAAGTACTTCATTAACAACCCTACTGCTGGTTATTCTAACTAAAACTCTTATATAAATTTATATAAATTTATATAAAATATATTTATACAAGATTATGCAAAATTATGCAAGATTATACAAAAATATGCAAGATTATACAGAATCATACAGAATTATACAAGGAGTACATATGCAGAGCTCTTAAATAGACAATAACTAAAGTTGTATATATGGCCAACTGTACTTTCATTAATATAACAAAGTTAGATGGTTGCTCAGGCATTTGAACCAAGGTTCAATAAAATGTGCCAAACTTTAAAGTGATCACCTTAACATAAAAAAAAAATAAAATAAAATAAAAATAAAATTTGTATTAAAAATACAGTTTAATATCAAAATAAAATCAGATATAATAGTTTAAATTTTAAATTACCCAAGTTTTTAAAAGTTCTGAACATTTTTACTTAGTACATCTAACCTCTGTTTTTAGTTAGTTTTTTGAAATATAGCACCCAGATATTAAAAACAGTTTTACTAAAATTTAGGGTTAGGGTGCAGTTTAACACCAAAATAGAGTTAGATATAATAGTTCAAATTTAAGTTACACGAGGTTTTGGGGTTCTGAACATTTTTACTTAGTTTTTTGAGATATAGCACCCCGGATATCAATATCCCCGGTATCAATTAAAAATAGTCTTAATAATATTAATAAAATTGTTTTTTATATGCTGTTACGTTAATATTCAAAGTTTTATTGACAATGTAACAATAATATTGGTTCGAAACAACGAATATTATTACTAGATGCTTTAACGACGCCTTATTTCACACTTAAATATTTACGCCCAAATATATAACCGATTATTATAAAAAAAATTACTTTCATACATATATATATGTAAAATACGAAATTTAAATGCAGTTTTATTACAGTATTAGAGTTAGGGTGGACTTTAATTTGACTCACAACAATTCAATCTAGCGTTCGATAATGTGAGTATTCAATTAATCGAATTTAACCAGTCTTTATTGGTCTTTACGTTTATAATTATGTCACATGAAACTTCAATAGAATTCTAAATATACACATCAAATTTAACTGTCAGCAAGTTTCGGAAAAGCAGACAATAAACAAAAGAGCATGTTCCAAGATTCAAATTCAACCTGACAGTTTTCAAAATGATTTTTATGCATTGATCTTGGGCAAAAATACAACCTCTTGTGGTAGTATCTTCTTTATCTAAATCAAATGTCAAATATTTTAAAAATGGTTATGAATATACGATTTCTTTGTTGTTAGTAGGAAATAATTATTCTTAGAAAATTATGATTAGAAAATTAAAAATAAAACCGTGAAATGTAACAACAAAGAAAATACAATTTACCGTATTGTCGCGAATAACGCCCACCTGTGCATTATTTTGAATATATGCGTGTTATTTAAAGTACGCGCATGGGTGTTATTTTGAGATAAAGATAATTTTCCCGAAGCTGGTTTTCCAAATTATTATTATATACCTGGGTTGATACCTTATTAGAGTTGCAGGTGAACCTAATTTTGAATTTCGCCATAGTTTCAACCCGAGTTTCTCATTGTTATATTTATTTTTAACGGGGTGTGCGTTATTTCGGGACGCGCATGGGCGTTATTTTGAAATCATCTATGCTATTTTCATAGGGTACAATTTTTTAAATAACAGATGACGTTATTCCGCAACAATACGGTAATACAATTTATAAAACAATTGTCTTCAGTAACTAAAGTTATAAATTATAAATTCGAAACTCCTCAATAGAGCTGGCAATATGGGTATTATAGAAATATGGCATTAAGGCCATAATTAATTACAGAATATAGTAACCATAACCCATGAATACTAGAAATGCTATACTTACAATTTATGTCTAACAACTTTATTAACTACGATCTCTGGGCGTGTACTAGACCTGGGATCTATTATATGGGTTAAATATTGGTACCAATCGATTAGCAATCGATTTAATTCTGAACATCGCCCATACGTAATATATCCAAGAATAAATAAATAGGTTTTTGTGTTCAGATATAACAATTTAATTATTACGTACTATTTATTTTTCAATGGTTACGTTATAAATATGTAATGGTTAATAAATCATTATTTGTTGATCGCAACTATTATTAACAGTTTCAATCTTTATTTGTTGATTGCAACTATTATTACTATTATTAACAGTTTCAATCTTTAACAGCTTCAAATGTGATTGCATTGGTATATATCTTTGTTTAGCTAATCTGCCATACTGGAATTATCCAAGTCCATTTATCCATTGTTGTCTTCGATATAAATAAATATAAAACTTATTTTTAAAAATTTTATTACAACATAACAACATATACAGTAGCTTTCTCTTCACACTTCTATATATCGATATTAAACAAATTATTGAATCAGCTGGTTTTATTAAAAGATAAACCGTACATACATGTACGTACGTACTTTGAACTAGGTTACATGTTACGTAAATTAGATACTATTTTTACAAATGTGAACCTCCTAACGCTAAATATATCGATATCTCATTTATTTAAATTTATATTTTGTATATATATACAATTAATTATATAAAATTTATATTTTTAAAAAAAAAAATAATTTTTAGATCTCACTATAAATTATAATACAATTAAAGAATACTTTCTATGAATAATTACGCTCTAGATTCAATTTGATAATAATCTTTCATAGGTTTGGCCAATTCTATTGGCATACTCAATCTCACTTCATATTTTCTAACTTCTGTTGCGGCTGTAGACTTGGTAGCTGGAAGACTATGACGGTTGTTCTTTTTATTGTTTTTATCATTACCATGTTTTCCTTGTTTCAATAAAGGTTCGTCTTGGACAAGTTGCAAAGGCTTCAGTCTTGGGTCTGAAATACGACTTCGGTTTCTTCTTTGTCGATAAAGAATTACAAAAATTAAAAATAATCCAATTATTGCCGCGACAACTATCATCATTATGATGAAAATTGTATTTGTTGTTGTTGTTAAATTAGTGAATTGTCGTTTGTAAAGATGCATACCCAAATTTATGGGTGCTGATACATGATTTTTCAACATTGTAAAAGCGTTGCTATTAAATTATTGTAAAGCGAAAGTTTCTTTAATTTGGATTTTGGATCTCTTTATATAAATACTTAATTATTGTTATTAATCACGCATCAGCGTCAGATGATTACTAAATGACTAGATATATAATAGAATATAATAAGAATTGTAATCTCTTTATAACTCCCTTAAGGTTTTGCATGTATGAATGATTGTACAAAGTTGGTTACTTATGTGATACACTTATTTTTAGTTTACCAAAATTACTTTGTTCTAAAAATATATTTGATTTTAAAGAATAATTTCGTTTTGGAAAACGCCTTCAGTTTATACCACAATTGATAAACTTCCTTGGAAGTTTAAGTCCGATTAATTTTAGTCATACAATTATTTTAGGCAAATTAGTTTTAGCTTTAAATTTTTTTTTTTAAGATTTGTCAGGAGTTGTCTTAGCGTTAGCTCAATTCTAAATTATAAATATCGATATCGTAGTAAATTGACTATCTGACCTAATTCTATTCTTAATATTATATGTTATGCCAATAAATCACCTCCAGTGGGGTTACTGCAATTAGTGAATCTGAAATATTTCTCCATCGGTAAAATTATTTTACACTATACAGTGAAAAATATTTCGGACTTTAAAAATATATACCTAATCCGTAGAGATTGATTTAAATCAGGTGATGCTTATAAATACGAATGTTCAAACCATAAATGTCACCTGATTGTCTGAAGCGAAGCGACGGACTCATACTTCTACGTCCTTTGATGACCGTTTTTGATATATTTATAGCAAATGCAGTTTTGGGATTTTCCGTCCCTGAAAAATTTGATCTACGAAAAACCTGCCATCTGAGTACAGTTGAAAAATCTATCATAATGATAGATTTTTCATAGATGGCCAACCGGTATAAGTCTGGTGCTCAATTTAACATTTTTACTCCTGAAAAGTCTTATGTATGTCGTAGATCAAAATTTTTTATTTTAGGAAGTTTAAGGTTATTTTTTTAATGCAGTTATGGTTAATGGGTTATATAGATATCAAAAATGTAATTTATACAGCATGTAAATTATATATTAAACTAACTTCACTTTAGCCCCCCTATTTTAGGTAGCGTTTTCACAAAAATTGTGCAATTTTGACCAATTAAAATTTAAAATTAGATATTAAAACAAGCATACATACTATATGAACCCATGCAACCATAAACTTAATATACCAAAAATTTTTATAAAAAGTTAGATTGTTTGATATTATACTTGTTTATTTTCAATTATTATTTTCTGATTTAAGTTTTCAAAAACAAACTAAGCAAAAAACCAATAAAATAGAGATTTTTTTTTTGTTAACTAACCTTTTTAGGCTCAAAAAGACTCTAAAATATATACTAAGAGATAAGGTTTTGCAAAAATTACTAAATATAAAAGGATTTGCAAGAAAAAGTACAAAAATAAGCAAATTAATAATTAAAAATAGAAATAATCTGTACAAAAAAGGTCAAAAATAAGCAAACTTTAATTGACTTATCTATATATTGTATATTTTAAGATCCTGTTCGAGTTTTTATTTAAGTATTGTTAAGTAAAGAGTTTATAGCCAAGGTTTTAAAAAAATTTCTTTATATTAGAGAATACAACTAGTTATATATATACTTTTAGTATCTAATTGAAGTAGTTTACAACTTATATTATAGGTTTTATATTAGATGCTTTACTTGTAATCTAAACTATAAATGTTACTTACTATATTTAAATTCTTTATAATATAACTTTATTGTATCACTAATACTGTATATTTTTAATATAATCATCAGTCAAGAAGGTTTAAATATAAACTATTATCTTTAGAACTACTTCATTCTTAAAGCATCATTATTAAAGCTTTCTGTATATACAATTTGTCTAATCTAAATTTCAGTAACTTATATTAAGTTTGAAAATAAATATTTTATAAACTGAAGCTACTATTGTTACCTACTTTTGCTTTTACTATATAAAGTTCATTTAAACTCTAGTATATACTTTATAGACTACCAATAGTATTTTAATATTAACTAATAATATTTTAAACTTCTAATTCAGATAGCCTGAAAGAGATTAATAGATATCCTCTGATATTTTAAATAAATTTATTTTCTTCTAATTTTTTTTATTTAACAGTTTGGTTGGTATAATGTTTTTACTAAATACAATATTTAGTTCTTGTTTAGTTTGCTGTTAGTGTTTAATTTTTCAGATAATAATTCTTTATATAGCATTATTAAAAATTTATATTATTTTTCTATTTAGATCTTTATAAATAGGTTTCTATATCTCATCAATAAAATAGATTTTAAAAAAGAAAATAATTATTATTTATATTTAAAGACATCTTATATTCTTTTTATTAGAAATTAGTAAAAATATTTTTTTTATATAAAAAAGATTATACTATACAAATCATTTTTAAAAGATAATAATATATAATTGATATCAAATGATATATTTTAATAGGGCTAAAGAAGTTAAATTAGATATATAATTATATATAACTATAATACTTTTAAAATTATTTAAAGTATAGCTTAAAATTATTAGAATATAATCAAGTAATTATTTTGTATATTTAACTAATTAAATATAGAAAAATAAGAATTTAGTTTAAAATTTATATCTTTATTTAAAGTATAATTTCACTAATTTATCTATATATAGTCAGACCTTTCTAAATATATAGTTGAAAGATGGCTAAAAAATCTTGTATTTAGAGAAGTATTATATTTATAGAAGTACAAATTTTTGGGTCTTTTCTTTTTCTTTCTATAACTAATAATAGTTTAACTTAAATTAGTTTTTAAATATAGTCAAACTTCTCATAGCTAATTCAAAACTCTTCCTGACGATCACTTGTACCAACCTAACACCGAAAGCAAGTTGAAGATTCAAGTCTAGAAGTCAACAACAACTTGAAGTTTTCTCGATACAAACTGTTATCAACGAAGTCTTTAAACATGATACACCGAAAAGCGGGCGTTTTGGATGGTTTGCAAAGGGGTCAAGCCTTGCTTCTCTGCTATTTTTGGGGTGGACTCCCCTTTGCGTTTGGCAT